ATACAGAAGAATAGGAAAATATTAATATTCAACAGTTTTGATACTAGATAATGAGCATATGATGCACAGTTTAACTTTCTGCATCCTTCAACAGTGAAAGGCATTTGAGAGAAATGAATGATATATTTAGGACAAGCGTTGTCAGATAGCTCTACTCGCGCTCACTTGCTCCTATCTTCACTTTCCCATTATAACCTGAAGAATAAAACCGCTGTCAGTCAGGTGAGATGTGAGAAATGTGAAAAGATGTTTTCAGTTTCTTATAGACAAGCAAAGATTCAGGGAAGGCTCAGAGTATAATGTGAGTCAAAAATGAAATGCAGGGGTCTATTTTATCTTTATCGTCATCGAGATCGTTTGGTCTTTAACCCTGCATGACTAAGAAAGAACTTATTTTTCAGAACTTTTTTTCCCCTTCATTTTTAGCCAAACTGTGACTCAGACTTTAGGTTTACCAGCACACCCAGCAGCTGCCGGCTCCGTCAAAGAATATTTGATTTCTTGGTGAAAATTACCAGCTATGATGCCAGTGTGACCTTGCAACCTTTGAAAATGAAGCCATTAGCTAGGCCCAACCACTGAGATTGCAATAAAAGGAGCGAGTTCCTCTCGAACAAACACCGTGTGATTTGGAGGCCTCATTTTTATCCCACACAGAGGGGGAGCCCAGCAAAGACTCACCGCAGGGGTCTGATAGCACAAGGTAGAGGGGGTGGGTGGCGTTGAATGCTGCCTGAAATGAGATTCTAGCTGTTGGGTAMCACTGTTGCAGGAGTGTGATTGCATGGCAGTCAGATAGCAAGCCAGACTTATTCCCTTTTACCTAGACTTGGCTAGCTCAGGGGTGAAGCTGATGGGTGTGAAAGCCAATTTAGCGGCGGTTGTCGCTCCTGTGTGATGCTGAGGAAAGGTCTGAGTGGTGGCAGAAGGTTTTGGATCGTTTCTCTGGGGAGGGCTTATCAGTAACATTGGTTTGTTTTGTTTTTTTTCTCTTCACTTGCAGAGACTTCTGGACCAGATTCTGCAAAGATAGGACAGGTCTCAACATGTAAATAGGATTCAGTTCTAGCAATTTTGCAGGTTTATGTTTTTTCTTAACATAGTTGTTTTATTATCGAAGGTTTTGCATTTATAAATGTATTTTGTGAGCCACTCATTCCTGTTAAAAATCCAGTTGTATTGTTGCTCTTTGTATTTTTATCAAATTAAAGATTGGGAGTATGGCAGAGCAGTTGGTGAGGGTTTGAATGGATGTTTCTCTATTATGTAGCCCTTTGATGAACTACACTGCAAAAACTGTCCACCTTACCTAGTTTTAAAATCTTATATCCAGCCAAAAAGTATTTTTGATCTTGTTTTGAGACTGATTTACTAAGCAAGAACTGATTGTGTAAGAATAATAACCTTGTTTTCAGAATGTGTAAGATTATTTGTCTTGTTAGTCTGAAAATTTGACTAAAATTAAGTCAAAAATTTCTGCCAATGGAGTAAGAAAATTTCACTTGGTAAGATTCTTGAAATAAGAAAAAAAATGAGTCAAATCAAGTATTTCAAGAATCTTACCAAGTAAAATTTTCTTACTCCACTGGCAGAAATTTTTTACTTAATTTGAGTCAAATTTTCCAGACTAACAAGACAAATAATCTTACACATTCTGAAAACAAGATTATTATTCTTAAAATCAGTTCTTGTTTAGTAAATCAGTCTTAAAACAAGATCAAAATACTTTTTGGTTGGATATAAGATTTTAAAACTTGGTTAGGTGAACATTTTTTGCAGTGTTACTGATCTGTCCAGGGTGTACCACTCTTCTCACATGGTACAGAAAATGGATGGATGGATCTAAAAATGATTTCCTTACACTTCTGATTATGCCACATTATGCCCTGGTCAGACTGAAAACCATCCGTCTACAAATCAGCCATCGTTTTGTGCTTTTGTACCTGTTCAAGTGCCTTTCCCAACAACAGAACGACTGAGATGGCTAATCAAACCAGCAACCCACCAGTACTGGACGACTCCCCTAACCACTCTGTCACACCCACTCACATCATCATGTATCAGTTAGCATCGTTTTAGAAATAGTCACATTAGCCACATGGAAAAAAAAAGCCTTTTTATTATTAATTGGGGCAACAGCGGCAAAAGGAGATAGAGGGTCATCCTGTAACTGGTGGTTTGCCGCTTCAAACCCCCCACCTCAAACATTGTGTCATTGGGCAAGACACTTCACCTGCCTTGCCTGCTTGGGGTGGACAAAGGGTCTAGTGTCGTCAATGGCAAACTCACCTCTGTCAGTGTGACCCAGGGCAGCTGGGGCTACAATGTAGCTCACTACCATCAATGTGTGAATGGGTGTAATGTGTCAAGTGCTTTAACTTGATAAAGCGCCATATAACTTTATTTCCAATTTAAGATAAGTGATATAAATGCTGTGAAAATCTTTAAAAATAAAGTTAAAAAATATTGAAGACACTGACGAATGGATAACTGCAAACCTACAAACTAAGGATTACAAAACTGCAGCACTGACCACCGATCTACTGCAGTCCCCTTTGTCATCATAACAGTATTGTCCACAAAAAACAAAAGAAAAAAAACGAAAAAAAAAAAAAACACAGGACAATGTTTCATCATTGGTTTCACGTCTGCCCCCGAGGCCTCTGGAGCCTCCCATCCAGAACTGTGGAATTTCAAGCTAATCGAACACAAGAGACACTCAGCGCCTCTGAAAGAGATCTTTGTCACCCAGCTCCAAAGCAGAGATGACACCGCATTAAGAGAGGAGAGTCCTGAGCACAGCCTGGGACCTCAGACCCACATAGACTGCTTGAAGGTGACTGACAACTCTGTGGCATTTAACCAGAGTCCGCTGGGATTAGGAGCGAGCAGGGGATGGGTGTGTGAGCAGCTGAAAAACACACACTCTGTACATCTGAACCGCTGTGTGTGCGAGTGTACTACACACAGCGTTTAAAACGTAAAGCTGAATGATTAATAAAGGCTCAATTTTACTCGCCGCCACATTTCACTTTGATTGATTTTTGGCTCATAGGTGTAATAATAATTATTGATATTTGCTGATTTGTGTCCTGCCAGAGCCAMTAAGAAGACCACCCAACATTGGTTAAGTGTTCTGCTGCTCTGTAGGAAGTTTTCAGATGATGAGCACCGACTGACAGGAGTTATAGACGCAGAGACAGGCTCTTGTCAATCAGCCGTCCTCGCACTGAAGAATCCTGTACGTCACATTGCTATGCATAATGTGGGCTCTGTGCTCTGAGGTTTCTCCACGAGCTAAACTCAACTGCCCTCCAGTTATCTCTGGGGCTTTTAAAACTAAAAGAGTGCACCTGTGTACATGCACGCAGAGGCAATGTGTAAATCATTACCGATCCTTTTGAACAAATCTTATCTTAACAGTCTTCTCTTCGGAGCTGTGGTTCCCCACGATAAAAACTCCTCAGCTAAATCCACGGTCTATGAAGGGCTCGACTTTAACATATAAGAATCTCCAAAGATACGGAAAGCCAGGGGAGTCTTTCAAAACGATAAAGCCGAATCAGCTCAATAGCTACAAGTGAATAACAGCGAACGGGGTGTAATAAATCTCTGAAGAGAAGGAAATGGAAATCTGCAGGCACGCCATGAGGTTTTAAAGTCACAACTCAGACGTGAGTCGGTTCAGGGAAAGCTGTGCCTTTTTTTGTTTATTTTTTATTTTCTTTTCATGGTTTGTAGCCTCTGCAGGGTTATGGGGCAAAGTGAAGGCTGCACTGAGACATCTGTGACTATCTTTTTTATTTGCCTGCGGCACATACACACTACAAAACCATTAGTTTATAGCAGTGCAGGTGGGAGCACAAAAATACAGTTGGGGACAAGGGTAAAATTTTTAAATGTGTCTGGATTCAGAAATAGATAGAGGTGAGGTAATTCATGCAAGTGTTGAACAGAAAACTTATGTTTAATACTGTATGTCCCATTGCATTAATTTCAGCATATCTTTCACCCTATGCCATGGGCAACTTACAGTAAATGGATCCATGATTACTTGAAACATTAGATATTATTTAATAAGCACTCATTTCAACTGTAAAGCAAAGACTGTAAAAATACTGCAGGCTGTTTAATTTTTATTAATTTTTAAAAAAGTGTGTAGCAGATGTTTTCATTACAACCAATTCAGCACCAGTGAGACAGTTTTTGGTCATTTTGGTATTTTTTTAAGAATCACTCTAAAGCCCCCCACATATTCAGGCGTACTTCGCTCTGCGAAGGTCTGCACTGACTCAAGGCGGACTCAGTGTGGACTCAAAGCAGGCTCAAGTCCGCCGGACAGGTCCGCGCGTAGATTATTTTTTAAGTTCACGTTGTCGCACTATAAACTGCCTGCCGAGTACACGTTGAACTGTTYTGGATACACCACCAACGTTGAGAATCGGTGTCATCTGTGGAYGAAATGGAGTCAAATTTTGAAGAACGTCTCACGGAGGAGATTAGAAAACATAGAAACTTAAACGATACATCAAGAAAGGAATATATCGATGCCATGACTGAAACTGTGAAAAATTAGGGAAATTGTCAGGCAATCAGTACGCAAAATTGAAGTCTCAACCATCCACAGACATTATGCTCGGACTCTGCGTGACTAATGGACTGCATGTAGTATGCCCGAGTATGTGGGGGCCTTAAGAGCTGCTTCAAGTGTTTATTTATTTATTTATTTATTTATTTATTTATTAAAAAGATAAAATAATTATCCAATTTAATTGTTTGTTTGTTTGTTTGTGTTTTATTGGTGGGCCAGCTGGAAGTCACCTGCAGGCCAGATGTGGCCTGTGGGCCACCAGTTGCAGATCCCAGCCTACACAAATCAATAGCTGTTTTATGCAACATGTGAGAGAGAACTCTGTGTAAAACAGTAATTTTTCAAATGGTCCTAATTTATTTTACTACTTTGTGTGCAGGAGGCTCTATCCGTTATTTGTAATATCTACAACAAACAGGAAACTAAGGTCATCTCATGATTTAAAATGAGTTGTAGCCATTTGAAAAAAAAACTTGAATAATAATAATTATTTAATTAAAATGCTTAATTATGGAAATTGTCTCTGATTATGAGAATATGTGTAAATGACTCTCAGCTACAACCACACCAAATTTTACCTATTTATTTTTGTAATGTTGAGTATCTGTGGCAGTAATCAGTTGTAGTTGTGTATCCATGATCACGTTAAAGGCACAGTGTGTAGGATTTTGTCGATTCTTTTAGCCGAAATTGAGATAATCACTRATGACAATAATAAAAAACATGTCTAATCATTGCAGACAAAGACCTTGTTTTATTATTTTTACCTTATAAAAAGCTGTTTATATTTCCACGGTCGCAGGTCGCCACTACAGCCGCCATCATGCACCGCCATCTTGTCTATGAAGGCTCATGAAGGACAAACTGCGGTGGCGGCGTCAAAAACGGTTTTAGTTGTAATACTATAAATGTAATATTTGTTGTCTGTCATTGTAGCTGGGATAATTTTACTTATTAAAGCTCATAATCTTACCACTTGAAACATCACTAGCCCTGAAGCTGCTGGTAGACATCGCGGTTCGAATTATCAAAGGTTTTTAACACCTGAGAGACACCGTAGCAACTTTGCGTTTGGAAGCGTGGGGTGGGGGTGGGGGAAGGACCAGGGAGGATGATTCAACCACTCAACCACTAGATGTCGCTGAAAACAACAAATCCTGCACACTGTGCCTTTAAGATCTGTTCAGTGATTCATTATGCTGACAGACAGACAGGGATCCATTTTTTAATACACTGCCTTTAGGACCCTGCAGACTCCAAAGCGCACATGGCGATATGTTGCTGCTCGGGTTCTGGGGAGGGAATGCCAAGTCGGCTGCTTCACTTCACTTCACTCTACTCTCCAACATCCTCTCCTCCTCCAGCCGGCGTTTTCTGTCACAAGCCTCCAAAGAGCAACAACACATCCGCTCAAAACAACACTGATCCGACTCGCGTGTCTGTGCGTCTGTGTGGCTGCCTGTCTTAATGTGGGGAAGGAAAACTTTCTGACAGCTGCTTGCTTTTCGCTGGAGTCGTGAGGCGTTTTTTACCCCCATTAAAAAGACAGAAAGAAATTAATCCTTGAATCGACTGAAGTGTTTTAACTCCGCCCGGGGTGTCTGGTGGAGGTGCGCCGTGTCGCCGCGGTCTGAGCCGAGTGTTTGCGCCCCGGCTCCACCCCACCGAGCCCCGTCCACGATGAGAACCTGGAGGCGGCGGAGGAACTTCGGCTCTCTGACCCTGGCTCTGCTCCTCTGGAGCCTGACCACAGCTGCAGGAAACTCTGAGGTTCACAACAGAACAGAGGGTGAGTATAAACAGAGTGATGATAAATGTTATTTTTACAGCAGACCTGAAGATGCTGAGCTCGCCAAAAGAGTTTTATTTGCTCAGACACTACTTAGATTTCCCTTTTCTTTATTTATTCCCCCCAATTTAAAGTTTCTCCAAGCTCTAAGCTGTGTGTGAGGAAGGCAGAGAGGAAGTGGAGTTTGTTTTGTTAGATCCATCTTTGCTCAGATGGAACAATAAAAGGAAGTGAGGCTGCTGTCAGACGAACAGATGAGTTTAACATCCAGGAGGATGCAGCTTTATCATTCTCTTGTAAACATAAACCAAAACAGGATCTTGTTTTGTTTGTTTGTTTGCTTTTTTCTCAGCTGCTAAATTTATTCTGTTGATTTGATAAGACAGTGATGACTGTGTGAGTCGCACAAAACATTGTGCCACATTTCAAATGTCAAAGAAAACAGAAAAAAAAGAGCAAGCGATTTGGTATAAACACAATTTTTGACAGCTTTGGTTATTAATAAGGTATGTTGTTATGCTTTCATTTTTTTGAAACCAGAATTATTCACAATATGACAGTTAATCACATTTTGCATAGTTCAATAAAAAAAAATAAAATCAAAAAAAGTGTTGGCACTCTTAATTAACCCAGTGTTGGTGAAGTGTCATCAATAGAATTGCACACTAATTACAGCCAAGCATCCCTTTTAAATCAGCCATTCTGGGAGCGGGAGCAGAAAGATGCAGCTCAGGAGGGGTTTACAGCTCACATCGGCTCAGTGGGAGGTCATTAGAGCTATCACTCACAGGGTCAGCTCATATATAAATGCTGGGAGCAGAAATAGGTTTTTATTTATTTATTTTTAAAGCGGTTGTAGGTGGTGCTGAAATAGGGGAGCCTCTTTTGATGTCAGCAGGATATTGACTCATGTCTCTTATCTGAGCTTTTTATCAAGGCCTTGCTTCACCTGGATGGAGATGATGCTATGATTCATGCTACAGTTTGTAAGTTTGGGTTATGGGGGTTTTTTGAATGAAAGGAAGCTTTAATCTATCGCACACGGCTGACCGAACTATAAGAATTAGATGTAGAATTTTCATTTAAAAAGTATACATTTTTGTAGCAAAGTTGATCAGAAATACATTATCCCATTGGATTTCATTTTTATTCTTGCTTCCATCATATAAAACATAAAAAGCGTTGGTCTTGTAGTGAAGCAGCAGGGTTCTTTGGGTGGTCCAAATGATTCATTGGTTGAACTCCTAAAGGTGTAGATAAAAGGCATGTGTGGTGAAGCTCCCACAGGGATAAACTCTTTCTTCTGCAAGAAAAACTGCAACTAAAACAAAGGGCTTTAAGATCATCATGACAACTGGAGGACCATAACTGGAAAAGGCATAAATAATTCCAGCGAATGCCCCGATACAYGTACCATATTTACAACTGATGAAATATGTTTACCTCACTTGTCGCTTTGATTTACTACCAATACTAATCTCTCCCTTACACTGATCAAATACTTTGTTCTTAAATCTTGACTCTAATATCAGCGTTCAAACTGTGAAAAGTTTGGGAAGGTGATCTCATGGCCCAGTCATAGTAACGGATTAAAATCACTTTCCAGTTTATAAAAAAAAAAAGCTTGGCTCAGGATGCAGAGGTATTGGTGGGTTTATTTGGCATATGATCAGCTTTTTAGAGAAATCCAACAGATGCCAGGTAAGTAAATAAACGTCAAAGCTGTCTTAAGTTTTCTTCKCTTGAGTTTATTTGCAGCATCTGATCTCAATGAAGAAAAAAAATATAGAATATCATCTGCTGCCAATTAAACTGTAATGTTAAGCTTTTTTTTTGCATAAAGCAAGCTTCTTATATTACTAAGATATTCAAAGAAGTAACAGCTAAATATGGCTTAGCTTGTTAGCTGAACATAATATTCATTCCATAAATAGAATTTTTTTGCCGCGACTACTTGGCTTACCAGTGGGCCTAAATCCGACACAAATGTTTAAGCCAGATTTGTAATAAGTGCCATGCCAGATTGAACCAAACATGAGCTGGTGCCAGTGTACTCATGTCCTGAGCTATAGCTTTAGTGCTGATGGCTGAAACAGACTCTCTCATATCAAGTCTGGACCACCGCAGCACTGCYAGCGTTGCTTCTACTTCTACTTCTTTTACTGCCAAAGCTGCCAAACACGGACTGTAGCTGACTGACTTGTTGTCCTCCGGTGCCAAATCATTTCTCAGGGTGCCAGCACTCAGCTGCAATCAGCTACCTGGCTAGAGTTCAAAAACCCTCGTGTTCGCGGTTACTCAAGTAAAGTGGTGCATCTGAAAATAAAGACTTTCTCTGTAGTGATTTTTGTAGTTGTCCTGTTGAGGGAAATTTGCCCGTAAAGCCGTGGATTTCCCGCTTCTACACATGTGGTTTTATAGGATGGGCCACAGACTTTTCCAGAGCTTGATGACAAGTGGTTGAGGTAATTCATTCCTTTAAATCAAGTCAAAGCAGTGACACGTCTAAAACCTGCTGGAGAGTGAACTCCAAGGGCCAAGACAGGGAACACTTAGGCTATGTTAACACAAAAGGTGAATGCGACCCAAGTAAAAAAAATTTGCACGTATTGGATTTAAAAAAAAAAATCCAACCCATGTCTACGTATCTGTTGTTTTTCAAAATGGCCTCAGTCTAAATGTCACATTTTATCTGATATTTACATCAGTGAGGTGGGACGTATACAGATCACTCCAAGTATTTAGAATATTGATACCAACCTCATGGAGTTTAAATCTCCACACATCTTCAGCTACACAACAGAAGTCCAGTTGCTTTGTCTCTTCTTTTAATTTTCCATGTCCTGGAAGACTGAGAATATGCAGAAACAGGGCCAGCCGGTGACGCAGGCAGTAATGCTAAAGGCGCCATCCATCTAGGGTGAGCCACAAATGGGAACGAACAAAAAATTTTAACTGTTTACCAGATTATAGTTGACTTTGTCTGTAGAATAATCACTGCTTACTCAAGTTTATGAAGGTAATACTGTGCTTTTCTCAGCCTGATTTGTTACTACATGAGGTTGTAGGGTGCAGAGGATTTATCATGATAAATGTATCTTATGATACAGTCAAGACTAAGTCACGCTGCTCATTGTGGAAATACAAAAGAAAAAGGAAGTTTTAGTTCTGATCTCAGAAAAAGTCCAGGTTAAAGTCTGTTTTTTAGTGTTCTACCTTCATATTATTCCCAAAAATTTAGCAAAATCCTCTGTAAGGTTCTAATGTGAACACCAAACTAAACAAGCGTGTCCGATCATCATTTGTCTCTGACTGTATGACTTCAGAATCAGTGCACGCATGCTAACATTTAGCATCCATATTCTGTGAAATTAGCGTCCTGAATGTGAGGCCTCATTGTCTTCTACTCAAGAAAACAGGAACTTTTAGGACCTGCGTGTGAAAGTAGCTTAAGTTAGAATGTTAATGTGACAGAATAATAATGGGTGTTCTTAAATGTAATTTCATTGTGCTCTGTACAATGACAATAAAGGCATCATAATAGCTTTTGAAAAAAAATAGCTTTTGACTTGTTCTACTGCGAAGACCAGAAAATACTTCACTCTTTTTGCTGGAAACATTTTTATACTATCCTCACATCATAAACAGCAATAGCTGTTGTCTAAAAGTAGCACCTGAAGTGAATTTACCTTATGTTTTTTCTTTGATTTCAAAATAACCGAAGTCATTAAAAAACGTTGGTGCAGTTACGGTAATTTTTGGAGCAGCAGTGCTTAAAAAAGTGATGTCATCTTAAATTAGCCTTCAGAGAAAACCCTCAAGGAGATTTGAGTATATAAAAAACACACCAATCATATTTCTGAGTTCTTATGTGAGTTTTAAAGCTCAATTGTTCTCTAAAGTTAAAAAAAAAAAGAATCCCAGATGGACAAAAATCAAGCAGCCTGTGCTTACAGAGTCCATCTATAAATGTCTGTTTCTGTTTGAGTCTTTGTTTCTTCTCTGAATATCAACAGTTTTTTTAAGGATTTGTTTTTTTGTTTGTTTGTTTGTTTTGTATTGGGGGTGGGAAACTCAATAAATAATTAAAGACGAAGCCAAATGACCTGGAAAAGCTTGGAGCATATCAATTGGTCAGACTTCACCGTCAGACAGAATTAATTAGAAAGATTAGAATGTCTTTGTTGTCTAAACAAGCTGGTGGAGGAGAATTTAAAAAAAAAAGCCTAAAAGCAAATTCAAGCACAGACCCTTTGGTCTCTGAGGAGCTTCCTGCAGCTTTCAGCACACTTCCCTGAGAAGTAACTCAAACCCGTCGCTCAGTCTGTGGTGAAACGCTGATGTATGACAGCAATAGGGGTTACCAAAAAAAAAAAAATCCTTTCTGTTGAAACCATTCAGGAAATAACCTCACTCCGGTTTATCTTTCAAACCCTTGGGGTGGCTGTCGCTTGACATTTTGAGGACAGGCTGGCATTGATTTGCCGGCCGTGAGAGGAGGACAAGCACGGTTAGAAACGTCCCCATGTGTTAAACATCACTGGTCGTTACAGCCATCGGTGGGATTCAGCTCTCTGCTGATCGGCCTGTGGAAAACAGAGTTTCAGATAGAACAGATAAGACGGTGTTTTTGAGATGCAACACAACGGTTTAAACCTGCAGCAATAAAAAACTCACAAAACACAGAAGTATAATGTGCACACATGGATTTAATGCCCTGAGCTTCTCCTCGTGTCATCAGTAGCTGCGTTTCCACTGACCATGAAAATGCGCAAATTAGAATTTAGAAAATAAATTTGCTCTATGGAAACACATCAATCAAAAAAAATATACGTTTTTCGACAAAATGTTTTTGCGTTAGGATGAGGTGGTATTTCGGCCGTATCGAAATTGGTGTTTTTCGCAAAACTGCAATGGAAACACTTTTTTTCGCATCACAAGAGTCACAAGATCAACAACCGGCTGTTTCTACTGGCGAAAAAGACGACGACGAAGATAAC